CTTCAAAGTTTCCACCGGAGGTTGAGAACAACGACAGCAACCTTCTTATGTACGGATGGCCTACTCTCATAATTATCGGTGTCCTGAGAAGCTATGCCCACCTCTTCGTCACGCGCTGTGATACTAACTTTCCATTAGGTCAAGGTCTTTGTGTTTACGATAGCTAAGTTCGCTACCATTCAACGATAAGAAATCCAGTATGAAAAATTAGAAGAACGTCTATTCGTATTGGTTGACTTTAAAAGTTATTTGTATTATTTGAAAATGTCTAACCTTCACAACGCACGGCTGAGGAAACCCTTTGTAGAAAGCATATAGATAATTTCAACTAATATGAACCTGAACCATTCAATATAGATAGAAGTATTCATTTTTTTTTCCAACTCTTTAATTCGCGGCCGTGTCCTAACTCAAGTAGGCCTATGGTATCCTTGCATTTTCGTGGGTAAAAAGTCCACATAGCAGTTAGATATATCATCGTGCCTAAGTAATCCACTACCACGTTTTTCATAAAAAAAACAACCAAATACAGACAGTTTATTCCATAGTCTCGCGAGCTTCTGCAGGCCTGAATATTGGTATGTTTATAACTTTACTTATGGCCAGTGCTATCGAGGCTGGTAAACATTGCTGCAATACCTGCGTAACAACCCTTCAAAGCTAGATTTCATCTTTAGCACCTTTTCAGCTTTTTGCAGACGATTAAGTAGACAATCATCACACAGTTTCGTATCTTCACTGTTGTGATCATCCTTAAGTTCCCTCGAAAGCAGTATATAAATATTTGGTGATTTCTACGATATATGAAACGGTATACATTACAACGGATCAACATTACCGTCTACAACACCATGGTAAAAGTTCGTTTGCCAAACGTTGAAGCATTTTCTAAATAAAATATTATACCAGCTAAAGTCAGATTTCTATGTACCTCGACTGTATCTTTAACTTTCTATACAGCCGAAATGCTCCAACGTCCATCGACGTCAATGCTATCTTCAATGACACGAAAAAAGTTCATTGCGTCCAACAGCAGTAAGTACATCACCGTGGTGGTGATGGTAAAGTGGTAGTAATAATAGAACGTTGCCGATGCCCAGGCAATAGGTTCTATCATAATGCAATTTAGGTGCGAAGGAAGTTATCTAAAAAAGCGGGGTTACCGTAAGGCAGCTCGACCCATACGAGACGAAGACACGTAGGATAAAAGTACTACTTAAGCTTCTTGCATCACACACTATTTACATCAGTAGCACAGACTGGCTTTCTTTTCCATTGCTTCTGCTTTGCTGATCAATCAGGCAAAATGTTTGAGGAACTGTATCTGTAGCTATGCCCATTTAAAACTTCTTCTGTCAGCCAACAAACGGATAGTTTGTTTATAGCCTTAAAAAAGCAGTTAATTATCCTATTGTTTGTGCCAAAGCTGGGTTCTATTACCTAAGCACCATAACGTCGCATAATGCAGAAATAGCTGACTGAAGAGACCTGGCTACTTTTCTCGCCTCTTGCATCAGCACGTATTTTGCTACGTACAAACGTTTTAAAGCGCAAAAATGATTCCCTCAAAAATGGGTAAATATTAAAAAGAAACGTCTCAATATCAACGTGGGCATATTGCCATTAAAGCAGAATCTTTTCGATTGAACCTTATATTAAGTACGTCGATGTAGCCTTCAGGACGATCAAGAATTTTGACAGATTAGACATCGAATATAGACTTATGCAAAGTTATGACAAGTATTGCATTGCATCACAAGACCTATCATATACATTTTTGAGAAGCTCATAAAATGATTCACGGAAGAATTTGGTCATATAACAATATTATCTGTAGTTTTCCTTTTATATACAGTTCTAAAAAAAAAAAAAAAACAGTTCGCCCCTTTTTACTAAAATGTCCACCTTTGCGTTGAGTTTTTTTTTACATATGTCGTCAAAAATTACTTGATGTTTAGCCTTATGCGCATGAGAATCTTTCCTATTTTCCAATTTTCTACATATTTGAAAAAATTAATTTTTGTTTTTGTAGAACAGTTTCCAAATCTATAGATGGGAGATACTTTTATTAAAAGAGACAGAGCTAAGCTTCAGCAACATTATAAGCAAGTGATCATACTTGCATATGAATTTAGATTCTGCATGGAGTGGCAGATTTGTCATAATTTGTCTGCCGTCAGATATAAATTCAACTCTAAATGGTATATCCGTCCGTTTTTCCTGCTATTACGCAATGATTAATAAGGCGATCATGTATACGACCCTGTTAATTAGCAACAGCATATTTTACAAGGGGGTACCTGTACCTACAACAGGACCAAGGGCTCGGCAGATAACTACTATTTTCACCTCGGAATTTGTTATTAACGAAATTGGTGATTGACGCACACACAGTACCGAACTGACATTCCCTCAAATTTGTGAAACAATTCCATTGTATACATGCATTTAGCTTATATAGGAGTCTTCCAAGTGCGGTGCCAACAAGCACGCAGTTTCAGAAGCGGACCATTCCATGTGTCCCTGAATTTAGCGAGTAAATTCCCATGTGATAATAAAGGTTGCAGCGATCGTTTAAGAATCACATTCATTCAAATTGTATTTCAAGGGACAGTTAGAGCCGGTGTCCAAAATAGGCAATCTCTACGTTGGGATGCTGTAGCAGATTCAAGTCGTTCTACACGTGGTCAGTCACCGACCTCTTCTAGAGGAAGGCAAAACTTTGGTTCACTCAATATCCCCCACTAATTGGCATGACACGCTGGATGATGGTACGAGAGTCCACTGGTAAAGCTGACTCCTGCTGAAAGTCATTTGTTCATCAAGAAGGGGTTTAAACAGAACTGGGAAGTAACTTGCTCCGTCTCACGAAACCCTTAATGTGCGCAACACTCTCGAATGCACCAAATAAAACGCTTTTACCATTACTCATGCTTAGATCTAACAAATTCGTCATGTCTTCGTGAGACATAATCTGTATCGTTATGGTGAGCTTCCTACGTAGTCTCGAACGTGTGCATACTGTTATCTGTATTAGAATTATAGGCAAGCAGGCGAGCCCAATCCTGCCTACACTGATGTAATAATTATTCCTAATACGTCCTTTATAGGAGATACATTCGAAAGAACGCTTTCTAATATACCATATTAATGATAAGAGTCGAGAAGTGTTTATTGAAATAATAATATTTTCCTTTTGTTCAGAAGCAAGATTGAATATGTAAAACACTTGAAAGGATGTGGTCATTGGATGGGAAACTCACTCTAAACCTACGATACTTAATACGTAGCCGATAAAAAAGGTAACCGCTGTCATCTAAGCTTACGACTATTTAAAAAATTACGTTTACAGAATTCTTCCTTAGATCGAGTGTCCAAATTTTGCCAGTGTACATAAACAGTAGTTGAATCCGAAAAGTGTGATTTGGGGTACATGCCGACCAGACAGCTTACCATGTGAAAATAATGATTGAAGTGACTATCTATACTTAGAACAGATACAATAATAATTCAATTTCTCAGTATATTTGGAAAAAACAGGCAGCGAGACTAATTGGCAAAGCGCCAGTAATACAATTTCCATTTGAGTTTGCGATGAAACAAACATTTTGAACCTACGGAATGCTGATTAAAGTTGAAAAATCTCTCTCTTCTGATCACCACCGCACGATATTTCTACAACCTTTATTTACACGCAAGCCTTGAGTTTAATAACATTTGGAGTATAATTCATGATCTCTAAGTGTAATCTTTTTTTAATGTTTTTTTTTTGTCTTTGTTTATATCGTAATTACAGAAAAGTCAAACTGAAATTTGTCGCAACGAAAAAGTAAAGTTGAAACAATAACAACGATCATGTTCATATGAGTACAAGGTGATATTTTTCTTTGTTTCTTTTTGCCTGTTGCAAAACTTGTTTTGGACTCGTCACAGCCGTGACGAGTAAGCGTTCACTTAATTTCTTAATAAAATATAATAATAGTAAATAAAATATAAGACACTTAATAAAATCGTTGGGACAAATTTGACTTTTCTGTAAATTAAATTCCAGGATGAAATTACCATAATCATAATAATAAAAAAGACGATCTCTTTTTAATTACACTTAGGAATCATGAATTATACCTATATACATATATATGTAGGTATAATTTTTATATATTTTATTTAGTATATAAAAATTTATATAATGTATAGATATATAAACAATAAATATAAATATGTATTTATTATATAAAAATTATATATACATATGGTCCCTGAAGTTTTATACGCATATTTCTCACTCGTGCCGTTAAGAAAAACAGCGGTACGAAGCATTCAAAACCGGTGGACTTGTTAATTGATCAGTAACGACTGATGGACTGAAACAATTTTCGTTTACGAACGACACAGCGTGGCCGGCTCAAAGGCTCCTCCAGCATAAGAAATACTTAGTGACATTGATGAAATTATAAGAAAAATTGTGGGTTAGGACACCACTCAGTCATAGTCCTATATCATTACCTATTTGTTCCAAAATGTAGCAAAAATTAATCTAGCCTAAATGATGTGTAAAGCGTTGTACATGTAGGAATGAAATTTCCTATTTTTTTGACAGCGAACCTCATATGAGCCACCGATGCCAGCTCTGTTCAGTCAATCATCTGTGAAAAAGGACAAAAGGATAATGACAAAGAGTAGCTAACTGATTCATTTTTCAATGAAGCGTTGTGGTGTAAGGGCAGTATACGGCTAATTTTTCTTCGTTGATTTCGCGTCGTATATCCTAATAATAACACCTCCCTGTACTTGTAAGTGTATGTAGGTAGATTTTCAGTGTTTCCTTTTTATCACCCTTGTCTATAGATAAGGATCCATAGTCACGGGAACTTTCGCAGGAGCGTAATGTCATATAACGAAGTTTGTAGAACCCGATAGATAATCTTTTACGTCATAATAAGCACTTACGATATAATATTTATTCTAATACGCTCCCTATAAATTATCAAGGCACTTACCAACACACGACAAGCATTTTAAACGGAAAGAGCTTCCGTAGAGAATGACAAAGCAAGCTTTGGGATCCCATCGTTTGGCATCGTCTGGCCAGCGCTCAAACAGCTTGGAGTTTGGTCCCTCGCGGATCTCTTTCACCTCACGGAGGTCCACTGAAATTTTATACAAGAGACAATGAAAAAACAAATATTCTAAGAATTAGCTTCAGAATAACTCATGGATCGTTCGCCCGGATAATCGGATTAAATTGAAACTTATAATTAGAGGAGTTATATCTAGGAACAAGTAGGCCATGTATGGCCCGTGGAAATAGATTCGCTAATTGAGTTATTTGAACCCTGACGATCAGCTTCATTATATCCACTTGACGGCTAAGGAGATTAAATTCTATCGGACCACTATCACGTAAGCTAGCTTGAAGATAACTAGCAGCTAGCTTTTAAATTATTACAGTGAATCAACGGTTTCAACTCCACAGGCTCAATGTCATCCATAAAATTCACTCCGTACATTCCTGTGGCCTCATTCCCTAGCAGACTCTCAATACCTATGCAGTCACTTGCGTGGCTCCACGGCTGCCAGTTTTACACCGATCGTTCGGAAATCATCGGCTTTTTTGCGAAACACGTGCATCCTGCACGGTGCTTTATATAGAATGAGATGGCCACGTTAAAATAATTAGCGATTATATATATATATAGGCTTGTACACGTACTTGAAGCTGAACATTAGTGCATACGCAGAAGTTCCGTCTCGATGCTGACGTAGAAACTGTCGTAGAGTGACAGAAAACCTAAGTAACGTTTTAAAGATAGATGAAAGACGCTCGCTGGCGGAAGGAGTCAACCAACAATCGCATTTCTATAGCAGATAACAGATATTTCAGTCACGCGTTTAAAAAGACCCTTAATTATTAACAATTTGTTTGAAATTGTTTACTTTTTCGAATTCGAGCTGAAAAAAACATTGAGCAATCAGTCAAACAGTTCTGTGATGCGATCTGAATTATTGATTGTGGTAGCTCTATAGGCAGACATGTTGCTAGTAACTATGAGAGATGCATGCAAATGGGATACTCAGAGCCGTAGTTTTTATTTAACGACATTTCGATATTAAAAAAAAATAGCGTATCGTTCTTTATATAGGTGTTTCAATAGGTGTATATAGGTTGTTTATATATCATTACAAATTGTGGCAAAATAATTTCCATTCATTATATTCTCCAAACAAGCAGTCGATTCATTGTAATTACTTTTACATGGCGAACGAATCCATTTCACAGCTCAACTTTTAAAGAATGTTCGTAGAAATCCTATTTAGACTGAGTTGTAAGTCCACTCGAACTATTCTTGCAGATTTCAAAATATTTTGTAGGTAAAGTTTCGTCTCCCGCGAAGATCTTGCAGGAGAAAACCGTTGAGAAACAGCTACCACTACACTTGACCGAGTACACTGTTCAGAGCAACCCCATTTGTCGTAAGGGGTAATGGTTTTAACTATTCAATCAATATAATCCTAGTTGGTCTAATATTTTGTTATTCAGCGAAGTGTCGGGCGAGCAGTCATCATTCATCTGCAACTGGCACAGGCAATGGAATCTTCCCGAGAAACTCAATGCGAGTTTGAAGCGAGCCCAGTTGCATTCTTCCCCTCGAGTCCCCACATGCTGTTATTGGTGTTACTCAGTGGACGCACGTATCAAAACACCGATGTTCCACCAATCCAACCTGATTTCGTGATGATTTATAATCCAGTAGTCTGCTTTGGGGGTTCTAGTGTTTTTACGTCACTTTGTCCTTCCACAGCTTCATTTCATTTTAATCAGGCTTGTCAAAAAAGTTTCACTGCCACCGTAAAGGCATCGCATTAACGTTATAGACACTCAAGTGTGACGCGAAAGCCATTTGTCCAAATGATTACGCGAACCCAATTTAATTTTTCGTAATGATAGGAAGCCAGAAGAATAAAACTCACTGTGAAAAAAACACAATGTTTCAAAGTTTCGCGAAGAAAAGGAGCAGACGGGCGTCCGCACAAATTGGCAGAAAAAAGGGAACGGTTGCCAAAGCCAGCTACAAATATGAGGCGTTGCAGTGTTTTCGGATCTGCAAACGGAAGGGGGACGCCGATCGAATCGGCAAAATGATTCTTAGCCGTTTCCTCGCCGTACCACAGATCCGCGCCCCAGAGAACGTTGGTGGCAGGAAATCTGAGAAGCGCTGACGAGTCGAGATCGTAAACTTTGTGCGGCAACGTTGTCGTTGCATCGATCAAATCAAGATCGTTTCGAAGGACACGAGTAAAAAATTGGTTTTTCAGAGGGTAAGGGGAAACCCGTAAGGGGAAGCAAAACACTGGATGCAGTAATTTCTGAAGGCGGTCCTGTTCTTGTCTCTGTGGGGTTGAGTAACGGCACCTTTGAGGCGGTAGCTTATTTCTGCCCTGACCCATGGTTGTTTCTTGTTACCATACTCAGTTGGATCGTCTGCATGTTCTATTATTGGACTGGTGGATTTATTAACCTTCTATCGAGATGAGTTGTCAAAATGAGACTATTTACCCCCAAAAAAATCCAGCACGATTTCGCATGTTAATTAGTCTGAAATCGTTAACACACCCACATGTTACATAAATCAAAAATAATTTTTAGTTATATTACGGGTCTTATTTATATTCATTGATGTAACTGCTGATAACACACACGGCAGATTCCACGAAAAGAATATGAAAAAGGCAACAAAACCATACAACTAGGCTGTGGTATTTTGTTACGCCTCGTAGAAAGTCGAGGCAATCAATCAAGAGCGACTCGTCTGTGATAGCGGTAAGTGTTTTAAGTTCAGCAAAAGGAAAAGTTAGGATAAATGAACAGGAGAAACTGTCACTTTTACTCGACATCGTCAATAGAGAGCTTAGAGTAGTTTGACTACACTTTTATAAGTGCTAGTCTGGCGTATTGCTTCAGAAGCCATGCTCGAAGGAAAAAGGCAAGCATATGTAAAATAACTTCAGTAACAATGCCGATATCACTAGATACAGTATGCGAGAAAAAATCGTGTTTAATTGTTTAGCTTCAACACTAGAAAAAATCTAAGTATACAAAAAATTACTCTAGCCAGCTAGCCAAATATGTTAAACTCAGTGTCTTTCTTTAAGGAGAAAAGTCTCGTTTTTTTTTTTATG